GCGGTGGATATTTGTGCATATTGTGGATGAGTTCTTCTGTGTCATCACGTTCTATTAGTTCTACAGCTTCAGTTTCTGAACTTTCAGGCTTAGTAACACATACAGCTGTTCCCTCACCACAGTGCAACAGTGAAAAGGGACCCCTTTCAAACAGTGTCGCTTTCAGAACGTTGTTTAAGTGACATACACCGGTATTGCGGTATTTAAAAAATTCATATCATAACATAAATAAACACCTGTATTCGGTATGAACCGGTATACCGCCCAGCACTACATGATCTGCCATTTTCGCTATTATCCTCGCTTGTTTCTTCACAATACCTGCAGAACTTCTGATGATTCGGCTGTGCAGGTTCGGCTGGTGGCTGGCATAGAATATGGGCGGGTATATGCAAATGTTGGGGGCGTAACTATTAGTGATCCCAACTGTAACGTCACAGTCGGTGTTATGTTCTGATTCTCCTATTTTTCAGTGGTCTTTTGCATGCACGAGATTTACATAAGGAGGAGGAAACAATGGTGTTTGAGGCTCATGGTATGTAATTTCTATGTACAGAACTGTTATTATTCAACTATGCCAAGGTAAATACAGTTTTCCATTCTATGGCACCTTTAAACAGATTTCTTATCTATGAAACGTCACATGAAATGCATAAAAAAAAATGACTTGACAACTTGAATTATACATTAACTCAAACTCTCCTTCCATCCAGCTTCAAAATGAATCGCAAGGACTGGGTCACATGGCATTAAAGAATAAAATGACTTTCTTGAACTGACCACCGTCTGGACCCCATAATGCACTGAAATGTGCACAATAAAAAAAAACAGCAACATTATTGTTGATCATAAATATTCTTTCATGCAATACCAAAACGAAGCAACAAAAAGTTCACGCTTACTACAAATGGACTATTTTACCCAATATTGTGTTCTGCATTTTTATACTACCTAATTGTTCATTTAACGATAAGATAATGCAAACACTAAATCAATCGAGTCGAGATTGAAAAAATATTTGGTGTAGCATTTACTTTTGAAACTATTTCACTCATAACTTGCAATTAAATTTCAGAAATAATTACAAAGAAACGACAATTAACACACTGAATTAAACTTTGATGTGACAGAAAGAGTCTAATAGAGTCGGCTGCGGTGCTTCTCTGCCGCTCACTGCACAGAACAGACGCCGAGAGAGCTGACACTTCTCCGGGAAAGTCAGACCTCGCGTTCGCGGGACAGCACTGGCGAAATCTTCCAACTGAACCATAGCTAAGCTTTATCCAAAAAAGTCACTAGGTTTGTCAGTATGAATATTCTATGGGAAAAAGTCGCTAAAAGGGTCTGAAAGTTGCTAAATCTAGTGCTAAAGTCTCGCTCGTGTGTGTGAGACGCGGGAGCTGATGGCAGGGGCGGTGGATATTTGTGCATATTGTGGATGAGTTCTTCTGTGTCATCACGTTCTATTAGTTCTACAGCTTCAGTTTCTGAACTTTCAGGCTTAGTAACACATACAGCTGTTCCCTCACCACAGTGCAACAGTGAAAAGGGACCCCTTTCAAACAGTGTCGCTTTCAGAACGTTGTTTAAGTGACATACACCGGTATTGCGGTATTTAAAAAATTCATATCATAACAAAAATAAAAACCGGTATTCGGTATGAACCGGTATACCGCCCAGCACTACAGCATCAAGCAAGCGACTGCCTTTCACTGACCCCTGGCCATCCTTATTCTTGCAGTTGATTATTTAATAACAATAATCATTTATTTCTATATTTCCCCTCCAAAACCCAAAGTTGGATTTATTTTTAGATATATATATATATTTTTGTAATTTCATAAATTGTCGTCTTTTTAATTGCTTGTGAACTATTGTAAAGACCAGTGCATCTGTTCCAATTGTCAGATCTGTTGCTTGCAACATCACAACTCTCCTATTGATATAGGCAAGCTGAAATATCCACCGTGTCCGTCAGTTGTTCTACATTTGTTGTGTGGCAGCGGCCAGGTTTGCATGCCTGTGTTTGCATGCGTGTTTCCCCTTCGCTGTGCTTCCATCATGAAGTCAGCTGCTGTAAGCAAACCGACATAAGTGAGGGAAACCCCAACAGATGATCAGCCAGCTCAAACAATATATGCCCTTCAGGGCTATCGTTGGGCTGTGGTCGTGCATAAAGAAAAAAGTAGTCTATTGTGAATAGCATGCCTATAGAATACTGAAAAAAATAGAAGAGTACTATGCCATTGGGACATAGAACTGAGGGCGTTAGCAGTTAAAACGCTGACTATTAGGTCATGTTATGTGGCTATTAGATGGTTGCTTCTGATTAGATTGTATTGATGTTGGATTTTGGCTGAAGGTGACATACTAGAACATGGCAAAATACTAAGCAGACATCACTTATTTACTATAGCAATTGCCCCAGTCAGTGTCTCTCGATTATAGTGAAGTTACTCCCTTCAGACCTCCCTCATAAAATTTGAAATTGATATGAAAATAAAAAATAGAATTTGTTAGCATATTTTGGCCAATGCAAATCCTACTGCGTTCTGGTTAAATAATATTTAATTAGTTAGTTTTGCATATGGGGGTGACAGCTTTCCTAAAAATATATCCTATTCCTAAAATAAGACACATCCCTATAATATCGCCTTGCTTACAGTATCGCAACATATCGTGTCGCAACCCCTGTATCGTGATGCGTATCGTATCGCCAGATTCTTGCCAATACACAACCCTAATGGCCATACAAGACTAAAGGCCCGTTCACACCAAGGACCATAACTATAGAGATACCACAGCTATAACGATAAAGGCACAGAGAAACAATATAATTGGAATTAGGGATGGGCGATATGGGCTTAAAAAAATATTACGATAATTTCTGATATTTATTGCGATAACGATATTAATGACGATAATTTAGGGAATCCTGTTTTTTTTAGAGAAAAGTATTATCTTTCCTATTTTTACCCAAAATAGGGTATTGTGAGAGCATTACTGTGTACACACGTAATGTAATGTAATGACTGTTTAATTCATACTGGAAGCCGGAGGGGCGCCCTTGTGCAGAAACTCCACATATGCATAGAAGTAATGCTCCAGGAAGAAGTATCCAGTGATCACTGTAGCTGAATAAAACGCAGATAGAGAAATTTTAACTGAGGAAACCTGAAGACAATAAACATGCGATTGCACAAAATATATGGTATCTGTGTTCTTCAAGCAGTCTTGGGTATTTTTTATAAGGATAAAGTATATTTATAATGCAATGCTAATCGACATAGCCTTTATCACTGTATATAATACTATAAAATAGTATGATGTCTGCCTTATTCTGTGATACGAAACTATGTCCGATCACAAAAATAAGTTATTTCAAACACTCGACTATGTTATGAAGTTAATATGGAGAAAAAGCATGTCAATAAATTAAAATATCTTTGTTGGACAACAGGTTTGTAAATGACTCATACACATGTAAAACTGTGTCGCACACGTGCTACGTACATTTACTCAAGGCTCAGAACGATTTTTGTCGCACTGTACAGCCCTATCCAAACCTGCTCCAGATTGTAGAAGGAGCTGCTCAATTTCACGTCTGCCTTCCTTCACGTCACTCCACACAGTCGTACACAGAAATATGTCAACAACTAGACTTTATCGTTATTATCGCAGGAAGACGAATTCTTATCACGTGGAGAATTTTTACCGGTATATCGCAAACGATAAGATATCGCCCATCCCTAGTTGGAATCACTTTCAGAACATTTTTTTCCAGCTGATGAATGATAAAAACATTGACATCCAATCAGAATCCATCCTGCTATAACGTGCTTGAGAATTTAAAGCGGCAGACGCGCATGCGCTTGGAATAAACAGACGATATCGTCCACTGGTGTGGACGCTAATATCGTTATCTTTCTTGGGGTGAATGGGCCTTAAGCCAAGTTTTTAATCCAATCACTTTGTTGATCGTAAGCGTTTTGAGATTTTCTAGCGTTATCTTTCAAGTTTAGCAGTTGAAAAGGTTTGGATGAACCGTGGCTTCGATCAGTCAGAACAAGTTAAAATATTAGCCGAGGGTTATGCAGACCTGATGTTCATGGCTTGATCTCTTAAATGGATTAAAATGCATGGCAAGCAGCTTTGGTTATGCTGTTGGCTTAATTACAATGTAGGTTCAGCATTCCCTTTCCATTCTGATTTTGAAGTGAAGCTTTGTGTCTTCTGAATTGTTGTGGGCGTTTGAACCAAATTTCGCAACGATGTGGGAAGCATTCTGGGTCAGTTTGTCACACACAAATGGCTATTTTAGTATCTGTTTGATAATGACTCCACATTGTTCCTACTTGCGTCCAACTGTGGATGAAATTTCAACCCTTGGTGTTCAGAGCCCTGCTGCACACCAGATTAAGTTTAATGGATCAGCTCCTTGCCCCCTTTAGGTTTTCATCTACACGTATTGCTTTCTGCAGCAGAGTAGTGTCATGCATCTTCATTCATTAGAAAAATGTTTTTCTGTTTTTACAGGAAACACCGTTTCATCGCAGCACAGCGAGAACGTTTATGTATCAGGCATGTCAAACGGTGAGTCCTGACTTCAGGTTTGGTTTACAGACCCAAGCTATAGATCTTGTTAATCTTCAGAGCAAAATAGACTCTGTGTGGATGACTGTTAAACAGAGCTCCTCAGTAGTTTCTGAAGTCCTCAAACACAGCTTGTAGGGAACTGTATGTGCCTCTGCAGATCAAAGGAATATAAAACATATAAATGCTCATGATATTTAGCCCAGATTAGTGTGCACATGTTACCTCTTGCCTAACTGTTAACTGAATGATTACTTGCTACTCTTTCATCCACCCCATTTCATCAGCAGGCATGTTGTATTTCCAGCATTGCTTTTAGGGGAAGTTCTGCAACTATATTAGTGTAGAAATGTTTTTATAATAATTCACTATTTTGGTGACCAGTGCACACTATTTTGGTGATTCATATTTCTTTGACCAGTATCCACTCACTAGCTTGTTTCCAAAAATTAGTGACCTATAAGCATTTCAAAACATTATTTCCCATTCTAGAGTAAAAAAAAAAACTGAGTGAGCAAAAACGGTGCGTGCTTAATTATTATGCAAGTTGATATTCTGGTCTTAATCGCCCATTATGTGTTGAAATGTGCATGCAGGGTCTTAACCTTTGTTTTTGTGGTCTTCTCCAGCCTGTGGCGATGTAGCGGAGCAGATAAGGGCGTCCAGTGGAGTGATAACCAGCCCTGGCTGGCCCTTTGAATACCCTTCTCGCATCAACTGCAGCTGGAACATCAGGGCCAACCCTGGAGAGATCATCACCATCAGGTAACACCTCGCCACCATACTGCAATATTTGCCCTTCCACTGATGCAGTCAAGAGCTGATCAAGAATAAAGAAGTTCTTCACAGTTTGCCTTAATTACAGGCTTAAGAGTTGTGGTTATACTGACTATAAATTCCTGCAGTGGTGGTGGAGTCTGATTCTCTGTACCAATGCACGCAACTGCGTTTGCCAAAACAATCTGCCTCTTTAGATGCAGATGCAAAACTTTGGGGATCTGGTTTTTTTTTTTTTGTCATTTCTTTAACAGAGATCTTTAAGGCAGAGCAGCATCTCTTGAATTACCAAGAGGTTCGGATTGTATTTTGAGTTCTGTCTTGGTTTAAAGGAATAATTCTGTGGGGGGTTTTCTTCAAGCTGCTGCCACCTTAAACTCCCTTTGAAAGCTTTTTTCCAATTTTTATTTTTATGTTCCGCATCTGCTCTATTCTTGCGCTGCCTGTTTGCTTCAACCAGAGTGTTTGTTTGCATCTTTATCCTAGAATGGTGTCTATGGTTACTGGCACAGAAATAGACCAAATGGGTATTTTTTCCATGGGATGTGATTTTTGTGGTAAACGCAGCAACTCGCTAATTCTGCAAATGGGAACGGTCTTAAATAGATGATTGGTTCAGTTTTCAGCGAGACGCGTGTACCACAAGTATACCTTTCTTTTTATAGGTATTTAGTTTGGTGGAGCTTTTCTCTGCATCATTTCTTAGTTGGTACTTCTTTATAGCAATACACATTCAAGTCTTGATCTATTGATGTTTGAGGCATGTCATGCAACGAGACGCAATCGTGTGCCTAATTTGAATTAACTCTGATGACAGGGATGGTTGTTTTTCATATTGTCACGTGCCCATACCCAATGTTCCTGTACTTAAAATCGGTTGTTCTTTTTAGTTTTCAGGACTTTGAAATTCAGAGCTCACACCGATGTGGTTTGGACTGGATCTCCATTGGAAACTACAAGAACCTGGATGGGTACCGGGCCTGTGGCTTGTCTATTCCGGCCCCATACATCTCCTCTCAGGATCACGTGTGGATCAAGTTCCACTCTGATGACAGCATGACTGGAAAAGGCTTCAGGCTCTCTTACATAACAGGTAGACCTGCTATTTATATCCCTTTAGATACACCTGTATCAGTGAGGATGCAGTTACGTAGATGTCTCACATTGCCATGCGACACTCGTAAATTCTCTCACTCTCAAATTGTATTTGGTTACCGCAAAATGACCTGCTTTTCAAGAACACATTAACGTCATTCTTGAATTGGTTTCTTTCTAAGGCAAGCATCACTGTTGTCATTCCTTAAAATTTAGTCTAGAGGGTTTTGGAAAAACTAGCCAATGATAAAATGGGATTAGATCTCACAGACTTGAATAAAGGAAGCAAGTCATGTTTAGATACCAGAATTTTATAGGCACTTGGGAGTTTGGCTGTTTTATGCTGACTATAGACATAAAACTCATACTTACTTTTTGCTGTTGCACATTACAATCATCCTCTCAGGGTTTTAAAAAGTCCTAATTTGCCCTTAAAAAATTAGGGCCTTAAAAGGTCTTGGAGCAGAAAGTCTTACATTTCTAAAGTTATAGCATTAAAATGTTGCAAGTACTGCAAAAAAAGAAAAATCGTTGTCAGTATATTTATTTTCCAGTACAAATATCTAAACATCCTTAAATCAATATGCATTTACTTGAGATGCAATTTGAACATATTAGGCCTTGTTTTCTGAGAAATTGAATGAAGTTTGAATTAAGCTGATTTTTACATTTACATAGTCATTTAGCAGACACTTTTATCCAAAAGCGACTTACAAATGAGGACAATGGAAGCAATCAAAATCAACAAAAGAGCACTTTGAAATATGCAAATATGAAACTTGATATGCAAGTGCTATAACAAGTCTCAGTTAGCTTAACGCAGTACACGTAGCAAGGTTTTTTTTTTATTATATAATAAAAAGAAAATGGATCGAATGGAAAAAGAATCGAGCAAGCTAGTGTTAGAGACCTTTTTTGCTTGTTAATTGTATAATAAATTAAAACAAAACCTAGATCGAATACAAAAAGATTAAAAAAGCTAGTGTTAGTTTATTTCAATAAACTATGAATGGAGTGCAAGTCTAAAAGGGACAAGTTTTTTTTTTTAAGAATATAATTAGAATAGAGAGTGCTAGAGTTAGAGGGTCAAATAAAGATGTAAGAGATGTGTTTTTAGCCGATTCTTGAAGCTGGCTAAGGACTCGGATTGAGTTGGGCAGGTCATTCCACCAGGAGGGAACATTTAATTTAAAAGTCTGTGAAAGTGATTTTGTGCTTCTTTTGGATGGCACAATAAAGCGATGTTCACTTGCAGAACGCAAGCTTCTAGAGGCACATAAGTCTGAAGTAATAAATATTGGTAAAGGGGTGCAGTGCCAGTGGTGGTAGGCAAACATCAATGCCTTGAATTTTATGCGAGCAGCTATTGGTAGCCAGTGCAAATTGATAAACAGAGGTGTGATGTGCATTCTTTTCAGCTCATTAAAAATTAATCTTGCTGCCACGTTCTGGATTAATTGTAAAGATTTGATAGAACTGGCTGGAAGACCTGCCAATAGTCCAGCCTGGACAGAACAAGAGCTTTAACATGAAGTTGTGAAGCATGTTCCCAAAGAAAGGGCCTGATCTTCTTGATGGTGAATAAAGCAAATCTGCAGGGCCGGGCAGTATTTTTTTATCCGATTTTTCTGAGCCTATTGGCAGATATTTGACCTTTTTAATCAAATTCACTTCATTTCGATACATTTCTCAGAAAACAAGATCTTAGAAAGGGTTTAGAAGGTACAGTAAAAGTTATTTTCAAATTCTAGTTAAGCAGTTTTGGTTTGTAAAATTGAAAGTTTTATTTTCAAACATTGAAGTGCTGCTAATACAACTCGTTGCATTCTCCTTAGTCTTACATTTAGACACATAGTTCCTTTTTAAATTTACTTTATTTGGTCTTAAAAAAAAAGTCTTAAATTATCCTTTATAAAACTTGCAGAAACCTTTGAAATCCTTCCAAAAACGAATTCATAAAACATTACTGCTAAAGCCTATGTCTCTTTAAATGGCTAATATCTTTGTGTAATTTGTAGGGAAATCGGAAGAAGCCAGCTGCAAGCCTGAGCAGTTCCACTGCACTAATGGAAAGTGTATCCCAGAGTCATGGAAGTGCAACACCATGGATGAATGTGGCGATAACTCAGACGAGGAGCTGTGTGTACAGCCTAATCCCTCCGCATTCTTCTCCTTCCAGCCTTGCGGCTTCAACCAGTTCCCTTGTCTCTCACGCTACACCCATGTTTACACCTGTTTGCCGGAGTCGCTCAAATGTGACGGCAGCATTGACTGTCAGGACTTGGGGGATGAAATCGACTGTGACGTGCCCACCTGTGGTGAATGGCTGCGCAATTTCTACGGTACTTTCAGCTCGCCCAACTATCCTGACTTCTATCCGCCTGGCAGTAACTGCACCTGGCTGATCGACACCGGTGACCACCGTAAGGTTATCCTGCGTTTTATGGACTTCAAGCTGGACGGCACAGGCTATGGCGATTATGTTAAAGTCTACGATGGACTAGAGGAGAACCCCAGGCGTCTGTTGCGTGTGTTGACTGCATTCGACTCTCGAGCCCCTGTAGCGGTGGTGTCATCTTCAGGACAGCTTCGGATACACTTTTATGCTGACAAAATCAATGCGGCTCGAGGCTTTAACGTTACGTATCAAGTAGACGGTTTCTGCCTGCCGTGGGAAATCCCGTGTGGAGGGAACTGGGGATGCTACAATGAACAACAGCGCTGTGACGGCTACTGGCACTGTCCCAATGGCAGGGACGAGCTCAACTGCAGCAACTGCCAGGAAGACGAGTTCCCATGCTCACGAAACGGTGCTTGCTACCCACACTCTGACCGGTGCAACTACCAGAACCGCTGCCCGAACGGCTCTGATGAGAAGAACTGCTTTTTCTGCCAACCTGGAAACTTCCACTGCAAGAACAACCGTTGTGTTTTTGAAAGCTGGGTGTGTGACGCACAAGACGACTGCGGGGACGGAAGCGATGAGGAGAGCTGCCCGGTAATCGTACCCACACGAGTCATCACAGCCGCTGTAATTGGAAGTCTGATCTGCGGCCTGCTGCTGGTGATTGCTTTGGGCTGCACATGCAAACTCTACTCACTCAGAATGTTTGAGCGCAGGTAAGTGAAGCCACTTCGCCAGACTAGAGCTAAAACAGAACTGGATTGTTCAGGAAAAATATTTATTATAGGGCAACTGTCAATCGATTAAAATTGTTTAATCTAATTAATTACACGATGTGGCCATTAATTAATCTTATCGCACTTCAAATTCTTCCGAGAAATTATCCACAAAAGATCATTTAAGCCATTATTGTTACATGAGAAGGGCATGAAATAGATATTACGAAAAGTAGCTGCAGAAATTGTTTTATTTTTTTGTGTGGGGGGGGTCTTTAATTAGTTATTATTATTTTTTTTCAGTTTTTTTTTTATTAATATGTAACTATGATATTGTTTTTTAATTAAATGATAATTAAATAAGGAACTAAAACTGCCAGTAGGTGGCAGTAAATGTCTTGATGAGTAAGTCATTGAGTCATTCATTCATTTGATTCTTTCAAACAGCTGATTCATTTAGGAATTAAGTAAATGGCTCTCTTTATGAATGGGGCATTGAATCATTGGTTCACCCAATTCATTCAAAACACTGATTCATTCAGAAATTGTGTGTTGCTTGGAGACACACAACAGTTCTGTCACTTTAATAGGTAATATCTGCGTTGGCAAAACAGACAATATTGTGTCTGAAATATAACACTATTAAGTTCTTATTTATTGAACTGTTGTATAAAATCAATATCACATTTGTACTCTTACTATTCAGCACTTGTGTGATTATTGCACTCATTGCTTCTGTGATATTGCTTAGCTATATCCAGTGTTTCCCACAGACTTGCACTCTAATGTGGTGGCACTTCCCCTGCAGGATATATATATATATATATACACACACATGTTTACTGCATAAAAACATCAGTCGATTTCCGTGTTGGTCTGAACGAAAACAGCAGAGAGGCTGATTGAAAATGCAAATTCATTCCTGCTGGCAGAGAATTTGGAGCGGCAGAAATAGCTGTTTCCCCGGTAAGGGCTGTAATCAAAGCAGGGCTGCGCTCAACAAATGCTACTTTATCAGGCATTATAGGAAAGATTAAATGAAAATGACATCAAAACTTTTCTGAAGACAGTCGGTTCCCTTCAAATATACATTCATATTAACACCCGCCCCGCATTTGATTTTGAAACGTGCATGGTTATTCAACGAAATCAAAGCCTTTTGGAAAATCTATCTGTGGCGGTCAGTTTTGATATTGCGACAGGCTGCCACAAATAAATCAATGTATGGAAAACACGGATATCAAATTATATAAATATGAGACAAAATCTCAAACAGGAGCATGTTCCCCCAAACTCTTGAATTTTAGGGGCATATAACTGCATTTTTTTTAGGCTACATCATGTGGTGAGTTGATGCATGGCATCACGTACGCGTCACCAATTTCGAGCATCCAGTTATATAATCACACATGTCTTGTGGAGCGCTTTCAGAGTATGCATTTATTTGTCATTTGAACTGTTTGGAAATGGAGCGTAAATGTGGAAGTCCTTCAAAGATTTCTTATCCTGTTGTGCCCTCTATTGGAGCAGCGACTAGTCGACATCAAGCTTAAAGCGTCATGGCAGAGCGTTGAAGTCGATTAGTCGGTGCAACCCCTAGTGTGTACGTTAATTGCATTAAAAATGTTAATGTTATTTTCCATTATTAATTAATTAGATTAACGTATTAAACCAACACCCCTAATTTATTAGTTTTATCAGTTTATGCTTCTGTGACTGTGCTCTCATCAACTACCAATGAATGGGAGTGGTTGTTCTTCCAGGTCATTTGAGACTCAGCTCTCTAGAGTGGAAGCCGAGTTACTGAGAAGAGAAGCTCCTCCATCGTATGGGCAGCTGATTGCTCAAGGACTGATTCCCCCAGTCGAAGATTTTCCTGTCTGCTCTGGAAACCAGGTAAGAAGACTACATAGTTATGTAGTTAAGGCCTAATCATCCGTTCTTTGTTTTTTGTGGCAAAAAACAGTCTTTTACCCTTCCATGTTTGGGCGCTAGCTGAAATGTTTAGACATATCCAAGAAGCTACGTTTTGCTCTTTTGATTTGAAGTTTCAGGGGTTTGTGTTGGTTTTAAATAGATATCTTGCATAGTGAGTAGTTTTTCTCAAAATGTCATTAGCTCACCATTGTCTAAATCAGTGGTTTTCAAACTTGTTCCTGGGGACCCACAGTTCTGCACATTTTGCATGTCTCCCTAATTTACACACCTGATTCAGATCATCAGCTCATTAGGAAAGAGCTCCATGAACTCAAATGAGTGTGTCAGATAAGTGAGACATGCAAAATGTGCAGAGCAGTGGGTCCCGAGGAACAGGATTGAAAACCACTGGTCAATTTTAGTTGGCGTATTGGCTAAATGAAAATGTATGAGCCAAGCCTTCTCTATAGTAGACTTGGTAAACTTGCATCAAGGTGCTGTCTGACTGACCTTGAAAAATTCCCAGAGAATATGAAGCATGATGGCTGACCTTGGGTAACACTCCCTATTGTTCTTGCTTTCAGGCATCTGTTTTAGAAAACCTAAGACTGGCAGTTCGCTCTCAGCTGGGATTCACCTCAATCCGACTCCCCACTACAGGGCGCCATGGCAACATCTGGAGACGCCTGTTCAATTTCACACGTTCACGGCGCTCTGGTTCTCTCGCACTGGTGTCTGCGGACACAGAAGAGGGTCCTGATGGCAGTGCCTCAGCTCGTGAGCCGGAGAGGCTTGGCTCTCACCGTGGACTCTTGCCCTTGGACTCTGACGATACGGACACTGAGAGTGAGCAGCATCCCCGCAGGGATGTCCCGGGAGCTGTTGGAGGCCTGATGGCCCCACTGCCGCAGAAAACTCCCCCTACAACAGCCGTGGAGGCCATCGTCTCTGTGTCTGCCAGCTCCGCTCCACTCGTCAGCCGGGAGAGCAGCATCTCTGAGAGCATCTCAGAAAGTTCTGGAGTAACTGGATCTTCATGTACTACGACTGCTACCACTACTTCCTCAAGAAGCCTCTTCAGCAGCGCTCTAAGCCGGGTCACCCGCAGCCTGCGCTGGATTCGTTTCTCTCTGGGGCGCTCTAGCGATGGAGGGTCAAGTGGCATTGGGCAGAATCACAGCCCTCTGCGGCAACTGGAGCAAGGAAGTGTGGGTTGCACTGGGGTCGGTATTAGAGGCGAGGATGAGGACGACGTGGAGCTCCTCATTCCCGTCTCGGACGCCGGCTCCCTGGACAGTGATGAGAGCTCCAGGCCCCTGCTGGAACAAGGCCTGGAGCAGGCCTTCGGGCCCCACCTGACCCCCGCTGCGGTCTCTCTCAGAGGCCGGGTGGTGGGTAGGGATGGCCCCTGTGAACACTGTGGAATTGTCCATACGGCACGGATCCCGGACGCTTGTATGGAGGCGACGGCGAAAACAGAAACTAGTGATGATGAGTCACTGCTGCTCTGTTAAGACTCAGATGAACTCCCTGACTTGGTACATGACCCATATGACTCTAAAATGCCCCTGCTCATAGCTTGCCATTTCTGTTGTCGCCCCCTAGTGGAGCGGAGGTTTGAATGTCTTCAGACAAAACGAAGAGCTTCAGAAATCAGGTACTTTTAAAGAGCGGTCTGTAAAGATCATACAGAGTACGAGAGCTCCCCAATCCCACTGTCCCTTCCACTGTGCAATATTAGTGTTCGTTGAGATGTTTACCAGGTCAAAGTCTATTTTTCTGAAGAGTCAAGTTAAGCTCACGTAGAGTCGAGAGTGAGCCGCTCTGCAGTTCTCCTTATGGGAAAGCAGCACAAACAGACGCGTCTATCCTGGACAGTGTGGGACAAAAAAGACTGAACACATACAAGTGCTCTGAGAGATTTGTTACCTAACCTTTAATTTATTTGTACTTTTGATGTCAGACTTTTGTTTTATTAAAGGAATGGTTGACCCAAAAATGAAACGTCTACTCACCCTAATGTTGTTCCAGACATGGTTTCTTTTGTACAATTATTGTGAAAGGTGTCCTAGCAGCTCTTTTCTACATTGTGTTAGATTTGGCATGATATTTTTTACAATTAACTATAGTCATGAAGAAGTCATATGGGCTTATTTGAGGGTTCTCTTTTGTTAATTGTTTTGTTCTACCCATGTAGTTTCACTGTGCGGAAAAGAGCAGCTTGGGCATTCTGCAAAGTAGCTCAAAGTTTGTTTAGGAGTTAAAAAAATAAATCAAAGTAATTTTATATTTCTTATGATAAAGTCATACAGGTTTGGAACAGCTGAGTAAATGACAGAATTTCCATTTTGGGTAAAATTATTCTGCTTGCAAAAAGTGGGAGATCAAAGAAAATTTGGTACGTTTGTTCATTTCAGTGTGAGTTTGTGTCCCTGCTGCAGTGGTACTTGGTGCATTACCTGCGATTTATGAGCGAGGGACATTTATTTATAACAGATTATAATCTGAGAGGGAGCTACTATTTTTAAACGATATTGCATTGTATAACAGCCACTTTTGTTTGTTGTATTTATTTTTTTGTTACCGTTAACCTTTTGGTAACCTTACTGTTTTGGTACTGAGAATTCTTGTGAGTATGTGTGTGTGTGTATATTTATTATTGGTTTTCATTTCGATAGCGTTTACTTGAAAAGCATGTCCAGCTGTCTTGTGCTAATTTTTTTCCATTTCATGATGTGTTAAAATATATATATCTCTCTATATAATTCTATACATGCATACACAAACATGCAAAAGATATATATATATATATATGTAAGAAAATTGTTTACTGCACTAAGAGAATAAAAGTGTTCATCCCTCTTGTGTTGGATGTTTTTTTTTTGTCTTAAAGTGTCTTAAAGATCTGAAGGTTGCTGCTTGGGGTTGACACTATTCTCTGTACTATTCTAATATACTATCTAAAATATAAAAACTACTGATACTGTAATTCAACAGTGCAAACAAGTAAAAAAATATTTTACAGTATTTTTAATTTTATTTTTTTAAGAAAATGTGTATGTAAATGTGTAATGAGATGACATGTTGTACAATTTTTTTTTTTTTTTTAAGTTTTATAATTTTTTTTAATTTTATAGTTTCAAAGCTGCAGAAGTGGGGAAGATGCATAAGATGTTTAGCTAATAGTTTTTACCAAAATGCCCACATTTAGGAATTGCATACTAAACAGCTTACAATTTACAGTAGATTGAGTTCACAAAATGTGTAATGAGATGACATGTTGTACAATTTTTTTTTTTTTTTTAAAGTTTTATAATTTTTTTTAATTTTATAGTTTCAAAGCTGCAGAAGTGGGGAAGATGCATAAGATGTTTAGCTAATAGTTTTTACCAAAATGCCCACATTTAGGAATTGCATACTAAACATCTTACAATTTACAGTAGATTGAGTTCACAAACAACTGACAGCCATGACCAACTGGGTTGCTTTGACCCAGCGGTTGGGTTGCTTTGACCCAGCGGTTGGGTTGCTTTGACCCAGCGGTTGGGTTGCTTTGACCCAGCGGTTGGGTTGCTTTGACCCAGCGGTTGGGTTGCTTTGACCCAGCGGTTGGGTTCAAAACAACCCAACCGCTGGGTCAACACAACCCAATAGGTGGGTTTGTCCCTTTTTAACCCAGCATTTTTTAGAGTGTACAAATGAATAAAAGAACATATACACAGACATATTACAGTATTACGGGATTAATGGAGGAAAGCTATACAAGCAATCTAAGGTTTAACAGCATTCAGCATACTTAAAACATCTCAGTATACTAACAGCTTATACTGAAAAACTATATAAAACACTGAACTAAACTAAAACAACAAACTGCGTGAAATCTAACTAAACAACATCGGCTCAAAACTATTATAAACCCGTGTTGTGCATTGCCAGAGTGTTGTTATTTGGTTACAAACGTGAAAAATAATAAAAACGTGCATTTTACTCCAGTTGTCCGAGTTTAATTTGTAACATCTAATTAGAATTGCAATATCTTCATGGATCATTTAGACTCGTACAACAGCCCACAGGTCTCCACAAAATTCCAGATATTGTTCTGTTTGCTCTTTAAGTCTGTGAGCTTGATTTCCTGAAGGCCAGTTTAAAGAGTTTCTGATTTTGACTCAAACTGGATTTAGCACTCAGTTTTGAACATGATATTGACCTGCAACACATTTTCAGGGTCACGACCTCTCAGTTATGAATAGACTTATGAATAGACCTTGAAAACATGTAACAGAGTGTAGAGCATAATTTACCGGTCATTACTGATGTCAGCAGCTGAGGCTGACTGAAGTAAGCAGCATCTAGATGGACAGAGAAACACGCGACCAGACTGGAGCTTTTAAAACAGACATAAAAACATGATCAATTCATAACACTGGCATATGATATAATTATTGGACATGACATTCAATTCAACCCACATATTGCAATTTCTATATCAGTGTCTCACTCGATTGTCTTGGGCTGTAAATGATTTCGATCAAAAAATTCATGGTCTTAAAGAGGCCATGAATTACTTTTTTTCTTTCTTGTTTTCTTCTGATCTTGACCTAAATTTCTCATCTTGACTATTTTTTTTCCTTGTGGTCACGATCATGACTTTTCATTTGACTGATGCGGTTTTATTTGTGTATTTAACATTTTTAAATGGTCTAACATAGCTATCGGTCAACACAGCAAGCGCATGCATATGGATTATCATACTTCAACAATTGTTTTTTTTACAGAGAAATATTAATTCTCCTATTTCTTACCCAAAATTAGGGTCATGTGAGCATTATTACACTAATTGTTATTATTGCAGTAATATAGACCTAATTTAACACAGCAATAATAATAATAATAAAATGTGTATATAGTAATATATGATCAGTGTTGGGAAAGTTACTTTGGAAAAGTAATAGGTTACAGATTACAAGTAACTATTTAAAATGTAAAAAGTAGTGTAACTATTTCAATTACTTTATTAAAGTCATGTAACTTATTACATTTGATTACCTTTCTACATTTCTAATGCTTTCAACTGTTAATCATTTTCAAACATGTAAACCAGGCACTACCTTACAGTAGTATTCAACACGGATTACTGTCAGACTTTCACAATCCTTCAGCACTTGAATTAAGATTATAATATTTTCATTTTAAAGCACAGCCACCACAAAATCAGACTTACTTTGAGATCATTCTGAGGTTAAATACAGATTTAAAATCATAACATGATATAGTTTAATAGCTATGATGCTGTTTTTGAAACAAAATCTTTGAAACACTGGAATCTAACAATGCCTAACAATCATAAACCCAAATAGGAAATAAAATAGTTATAAGCATGTGTCCTAAACTCCTGAAATATCGGTGCCTCATATTTTAGAGCAGTCGATGCAATTTGAGAAAGAAATCAATCAAATCTGTATGTGTTTGAAAATATTTAGATGCAACCCCCTTTGTAATTGTTAACATTTTCATAAGTAACTGTAACGATTACATTTATTATGTAATTCCGTTACATGTAACTACTTACTCCCCAACACTGTATAGGCTATTATACATATTAATAAATACATCTGGTGAAACATATTTATGGATAATGCAGAAGTCTCTCCAAGTTTTGCAGCTTAGAGAGCAAGTGTAAAGTTGAAGGTAATAATCGGACTTCTCTCCATCTTTCTGCACTGAATGCTGCCGTTTAATTCGAGGTTGCCTAAAGAGTGACCCAGTGCAGAGGTTTCACTTGGAGGAGATGCTCTTCCATGACTGGTTTAAGTTAGTCCCTCCATGCCTCCAGTCTTAGCATCTTGTGGGGCTGGCAGGCCTTGGTTGCATTTGGCTTGACTTGAGACGGTAGCTTTAGCGTCTTGTGGAACTATTTGTCTAGGGATGTGCACTGTAAATACTTTAAGTTAGTTAAGTTAGCCCCTTCATCCCTCCAGCCTTAGCATCTAGCGGGGCTGGCAGGCTTTGTGTGCATCTGGTGCCTTAGTTTGAGGCGGTAGTTTTAGCGCCTTTCGGAAGTACTCGCCTACTGTAGGGATGTGTATCATTAATGGTGAGTTTAGTTTTAGATTGTTAAGATAGTCCTTCCATCCTTCTAGCCTTAGCGTCTTGCGGGGCTGGCAGGCATTGGTTGCATCTGGCGCCTTGGTTTGAGGTGGTGGTATTAGTGTCTTGCAGAACTACTCATCTCGGGATGAGTATAGTAAATAGTTAAGAGTTTTATTTAAGTTAGTTAAGCAATGTACCATCCAGTCATATTATTAATGATGGAGTAACCCAGAGCTCCCCAGAGCTGTCTGTCAAGACCGCCCAACAAGTTCCTCTCACTGCTGCCCCAGAGGTCTCTGCCACTGACGCCCGGATCCCAGAGATCTGTGTCACGGATGCATTAGAGGTTTCAGTCATGGCCACAAAGCTTCTTTTCTCAGTTGCTTTGGGTCCAGGAATCCTGTCAGGGTCACTCCAGAAATAACCATAAAGGTTTCTGTTACTACTGTTCCAAGAGGTCCTTCACACTGCTGCTCAAAAGTTTCCTGCCAGGGGCAACTGGGTCCCAAAGATCTTTCAGTGCTGCTCCAGAAGTCACTGTGAGTAATTGCCGCCTAAAGTTTCCTGACGCTGCTGCTCCAGAATGGCTGAGATCAGAGTCACAGGCACCACAGAGGTTACGCGACAGAGATACCCTGGTCCCAGAGCTTCTTGTCTTGGGCTTGAAGGTTCTGATGATTGCAACCTCGGAACCCAATATGGTTCCACAGCTCTGTGTTGTGGCACCAGCTGTTATACAGCTTCCCAGAGGTTCCTGACATGACTGACCGGGTCACACTGATGCCATCATGTCCACCACAAAGGTTCCTCTCATGGTGGTGCAGAGACTCATGCAGCCAGAGAAGTTCCAGCAAGGAACAAGACAAGACAGACAAGGCTGCCCCAGGTTATCCTGCCGAAGCCTCAGCCAGAGCTGGTGTCGACGGTGCTCCAGTCCAGTCCCAGAGCTAATCTCTCAACCGCACTGGTCCCAGATGTTTCTACTAAAGCCACTTTGGTCCAAGAGGAATCTGTCACAGCTGCATTACAGAATCTTCTCATGCCCCTATTGTTTCCTATTACTGGTGTGATTCCTCCATAAATTTATCACACCTGTGTACCACATTAAAAATACACTGTGAAAATATACAAAAATGTGTTGTTTAGACAGTAATGACCTTTTAAAACTTCATATTGCTTCTTTGATGTTTTAACACATAAAAAAGTTATATTTAAGTAAATCAAAGTAAAATGTTCTTAACCTCAGATTTGTATTCTTTTTTTTTTTTTTTTTACAAAAATACTGAACCAATAATGTCTTAAGAACCAGTCGGTATTTAACAGTCCCAGAGCTAATCTCTCAACCGCACTGGTCCCAGATGTTTCTACTAAAGCCACTTTGGTCCAAGAGGAATCTGTCACAGCTGCATTACAGAATCTTCTCATGCCCCTATTGTTTCCTATTACTGGTGTGATTCCTCCATAAATTTATCACACCTGTGTACCACATTAAAAATACACTGTGAAAATATACAAAAATGTGTTGTTTAGACAGTAATGACCTTTTAAAACTTCATATTGCTTCTTTGATGTTTTAACACATAAAAAAGTTATATTTAAGTAAATCAAAGTAAAATGTTCTTAACCTCAGATTTGTATTCTTTTTTTTCTTTTTTTTTACAAAAATACTGAACCAATAATGTCTTAAGAACCAGTCGGTATTTAAGTTTTATTTACTGTATATTGCTTCTGCCACACAGATCTAAAATAAACGTGATTTATTTCCCAGCTGTTTACCTTCACAGACATAACTAACTGTTTTTGTAACTCGTGTGTTTTTAACGTAAACTTGTGTGTGAATGAGAACATAATCTAGTACTCCCATGCTGTGACAGCCGCTTTCTGTCCGTGTGCTTCGGATGTGTGCGCTCAGAAAACCGTATATCAGAAGTTTAAACTCATATGGTTTAAAACGCATGATTTCAGCGCGATAAACATGATAATCAGAAGCATAACAGATGTTTTTAGCAGGTCCGAGCTGTAATGGTCAGTGTTGGTCAGAACTAATTTTCAGAGAAAGTTGCTAAAGGAAGGTCGATTTGTTGCTAAAAGTTGCTAAATGACGTTGTGATGTCATTGCTCAATGACGTCGTTGCGTAATCACGACGCAAAATTGTCACATCATCAAACCTCAGCAAAAAATATATTTTAGATATGTTAATTTAGATTAGTTTTTAAAATAATATGCATGATATAATATTAAAATATAAATAACTGTTTTTAAATACATTGAATTATTGAAAACTTACACATTTTTAAATGATTACAATTTAAGTATTTTTAGTAGCTAGTAAACTCTACACATTCTCAACAATTATGCTTTAAGCAGTGTATTAGTAGTTAGTTAGTATGCTACACTCTAAGAAACGTCTGTAAAAATAAGGCACAATCTACTGTTAATATGAAAGAATTTTCCATGTTTTTTTTTTACCTGTATTTTAAATTACGCATTGTGTTTTCAGGTTACAGGGTTACAAAGGATGATGGATAATGGATATCCTGAAAGATTTTCCATTTTTCTTACAGTGTACTAACTGATCAATAGATACAAGCTACTAACAAAGTGTATCATAAATGAACAATTATTATTCAATTCATAAATTCATATACATAAAACTCAATTCTCGTGATGTGTGTACTGCTAGGCATCTGTGGTTTCCTCTTTTTGTGTAATTTGGATGGACAATGTGTGCCTTTTTATTGTCTGAGTCCTTATCAAAAGTTGCCAAATAAATGTTTAAAATTGCTAAATTTGTTGCTAGGTGCTTTTGGAAGAAAAAGTTGCTAGGGTAGTCTGAAAAGTTGCTAAATTTAGCAACAAAATTGCTAAGTTGGCAACACTGGTAATGGTGCAGCTCTATTCTGGAAAAGGGGGCGGGGAGCAGCAGCATATTTGCATTTAAAGAGACAGGCACGAAAAACAGCATGTTTCTGCTTCCACTCAAAATAGGCATTTTCAAAATGTTATAATAAATAATCTGTTGGGTATTTTGAGCTGAAACTTCACAGACACATTCTGGGGACACCTGAGACTTATATTACATATTGTAAAAAGGGGCATAATATGTCTCCTTTAAAATATTAAGGCAATCAGTGTTTGATAAAATGGTAATTTTCCAATAAAAGATTTTTACGAGTTGTTACACTTAATTACCCCTTAGCAGATTTTGTCTTAGGTGAAAAGTAAAGAATTAGCACATCTGTGACAATGTTATATATTTAAACTTTTGAATTACTCCGGTGACTACATTTGATTGGATTATTTGTACCATTTTTTACTTAGTATTTAGTTTGGTTTAATACTGGCATCTAGATGCTCTGCTGTATGTTAAGTGACCATATAAGTAAATGTTTTGGTAGCATGTCATGCCTGTGAGAAGTTTTGGTGAAAGACTGCAGACAAACACAGGGATTAGTAAATGAATTTTATTCTCTCAAAACAAGGAACAATTAAAAATTCATATTGTGTGGCAATTTTCCCCATATCCACAAACTGTGACTCGCTCCTACTTCCGGCAACCAGTGTCTGTTGCATTGAACAACACAACGAGAATGAACATTGTCCAGTCCTCTCCGAGTTCAGAGACTGCGTACAGCACCATCCAATGGGATCCGTTTTTATAACATTTTCTTTATAACAATAATAAAATAAAATATACTTGCAACATTTTTTTCAAGTCAAACTTGAATAAATATAAATTTTCTTAGCTTTTTCCCTCTTGGTTTTTAGATTTCTTTTGTCTGTTTGATTTTCTTTTCCTTCTTTTCTTTTCAAAACGTCAAGAAAAGATGAGTGCCAAGAGGTGGAATGTTGCGTTGAATGTCTGAACCGTCGGCCACAAAACCTCGACCCCGACCTGAATCCGTGGACGACACTAGATCAGGGGACGGCCGAGCTTCTGGTCCACATGCACTGTACACAAAACTGCGAAAAATTCCCAGATGTCTCTATCAAAACATGCTGTATTACTCAGACGGTGTGCTCAATCCATGTTGCAGACGCTTTTCAACATGCTTGCTTTGAATGAATGAGCCATTCTATTGTAACAGAACAGTGGAATCATGACAGACCCATAATCTACAGCTCCGTCTCCACATGAACACAGAATTATGGCTGCATTTGAAGGGAGAAATGTACAATCTTCATGTTCGTTTTTATATCGAAATCAATATTGTACATTTATTGTTTTCCTTGACGATCCCTTGCTTTATTTCTGTTAATAATATGAGATACAAAGTCTCATCAGGCCACACCTGTAACCGAGATCTGTAAAAATACAGAAGAATATTCTAAAGGATGACAATCACATCGTTATCATTTTGCATTCAGTCTCTTTGAAAATCATGCACTAGAGAATTTCATATTAAAAATCATACAAATTGTTGAAAATGGCTGATCTGGTCATCCTTAAATAAGTTTCTTCCTCTCTTTTGTTTTTTTTTGCAAGTCTTGAGGAAAATAAACTTCTGATTTTTTTAAACAACTCTGCATCCATTCATACAAATTGTTGAAAATGGCTGATCTGGTCATCCTTAAATAAGTTTCTTCCTCTCTTTTTTTTTTTTTGCAAGTCTTGAGGAAAATAAACTTCAGATTTTTTTAAACAACTCTGCATCCATGCAAAAAAAAAAAGAAAAGAAAAGAAAAAAAATCATCTCATAAATTTCATACAGTACATCAACAAAGAGAACATCATACCGGAGCACAAAAAAAAGTCCATTATTTATTTCATTAATCCCCCCCGAATCAAACAGGAACTCTGGCCATATCCATTTCCTCATCACCGAACTTTGAAAATCAATCCAGTGGAGATCTGGCTTGATGTAGGGTCATTCCCATGAGAACGCCATGTCTCTGAGGTTACCCTTTCCCTTTCCTGTCCCATCTTAGCCAAGCACTTCTCTCTTTATGGATCTTCTTTTGACAGCTTGGCTTACAGTAATGGCTACAACGCTTCAAGTTCTACTGTAGGTAAGAAACACTGACATCTCTTTGAATACAACAGAGAGGAAGCAGCCAGAGTAAAACGGCGTCTTCCTTTTCCGGTGGAAATCGGCACTCTTAACGTCCTACGGTTAAGAGTCAGACTCCGCCGAATCCCTGGCTGCATCTCTTCAGCTGAACGGAGAGACTTTCTTTCCCTGCGTGTGACAGCAGCATACATTTTCTTTTCATACATTTTTTTTTGGCAGAAGGACGCAGGCCTTTTCTTAGCCTCTTGTCGCACGGGCTCAGAGGACACAACATCAAGCATGCAGTGTAACCAGGACGTGACCCGTCGAGACCGTCTCCTCTGTCTGTAGCTGAAGCTACTCACGCCGCTCTCTACCGCTCACCTCCTCGTGCCGCTACGACCAAACGTTGGGTCTGTCCAGGCTTGAATCTGGAGGTTTACTACTTAAAGGTGCCAAGGTTGGGTCCACTAATGAGGTGGGAGGGAAGAGCTTGTACCAGCCAATCACCATGTTTGTCAGCTCTAAATCGTCTAACAGGATCTGGGCGGCTCCCATGAAGGATTTGTGGTCCATGCGTCCATAGTCCCCCCAAACAATGATCTGTAAAGAAAGACACGATTGGTAAAGAGTTTCAGGAGATGTGGTGCAGTGTTGTTATCGTTAACAAATTAAAACAAAAAAAGTTGAAGTACATATATTGCAAAAGCACATGACAAAATTACTAAAACTACAAAAAAAAAAAAATATATATATATATAGATATAAACAAAAGCGAAAATATTAATAAATACTATAAAAGTAAATAAATAATGCTAAAATAACTGATGTAGTGAGAACATATCCAAGTCAAATATCACCCACGAATCAAAAGAAATAAGAAATATTTGGCACATTTTCATCACAATCAAGCCTTACAATTTTTTTGCATTACATATTGTTCATACTTAAAGTAAGCCAATAGGATGCGGTCCTGGTGTTACCTGTAAAACCTTCCCCTCAGGATTCTCCTCAAACTGAAGTTGCTGTTGATAAAGAGGATCCAGTGTTTTTCTCGCTGTCCGTGTTTTCTTTTTGTTGATGCACTTCCCGTTGTCCAGCAGATATACTTTTACATAAGGTGCTGCAAATAATAGACCACAAGGATTTACATATAAACCTCACAAAATAGTCCAGGAACAGAAAAAAATAAATGTGCATTGTGTCATGATGAGACATACCTGGCGTCTGTTTGTTCCCTGGTTTGCCCACCAGGCCTCGAGCCCGAATAACTTCAACATCCAGCCTCTCCTTCCTGTGTACCATACCGATCTGGATGTCACCTGCGGAGAAAGGCCACATCCAAACTCTTAGAGCAGACAAAAGGTCACCTCATAGAAACCATTTGATTAAAGGTATTACAGTGCTATGGACAAAAACATTACTTTTTGGTAGAGATTTGTGTGTTAAGCCCAAAGTATACTTTGTTTTTTACACTTATACTAGTCTATGCGTACAGTGCGAGTAATGTAAATGTGATTGAAAGTATTCATGCACAGAATTCGGTGCTCCTGCGAAAGTGATGTAAAGTGCGATGAAATAAGATGGAAGGGTCCAGACCAGGAGTGTCCAATCCTGCTCCTGGAGGGCCATCATCCTGCAGTTTCTCTCCAGCTTGCCTCAACACACCTGCCTGGAAGTTTCGAGTATGCCTAGTGAGACCTTGGCTGCATCCGAAAACTGGAAAATGCTGCCTTCAGAGGACACAATTCAAGGCAGAAAGGCATCAAGGCACGTTCGAATCCAATGTTAGCTTCACTTCCTGCCTCCTGAGATACCTTCATCTGGCCGATTTTTGAAGGCAGCATAGAAGTATCCTTCGCTGCCTTTGATATCCCACAATCCTGTGCGTTCCATTCCGTGATGGTCGAGCATGGCGTCTGAAAGTTGTGTTTGTTGGTCAGTTTGTGTGCAAATTAGGGGTGTAACGGTTCACAAAATTCATGGTTTGGTTCAATATGACACAGCGGTGTCACGGTACATTTTCGATACCGGGGTGGGTAATTGGTTATGTCTCAATGTTGGAAATATTTCTATTTTAAAGCATGAAGGCAAGCCAATGGATATCACACAAGCAACGTGCAAACTTTGCACAAGAGTTACGTCGGTGAACGTCTTAATCTCAGTCAATTCACTATATGCAGAAAGTGAAAGTAAAAGTGGAATAACGGAGTAGTGACGGAGCTTTCGGCATCTGATGCTGCATATTCTCTCAGAGACGACGAGAGATGAATCTACATTATGCGGTAATTAGGCTATTGCGGGGCAAATTAATTGTAATTGGCCAAATAAAAATAAGAATGTAACAGGCCTACATTAATTGGAAATACCAAATCCTCTTTGCCAATAATTGATGTTTTTGACAATATCTCTGGCTATCGTCGATACAAGATCATCGTCTTTCGACGCACTCCAGCTAGGGGAGGTTTTCACGGGGCAGACAGCACGTTGCCTGTTACGTCGTTTGGGCTGCCTTGTTGAGCGCAGTGACACTGAGAACATTATATTTAATTCACACACTTTACGCTCTTTTATTTCCCAAACGTAATCGGATTAGTCCAACGAATCATTCGGTTTGTAATGCATGCCAAACCGAAAGCCTCGTACCGAAAGGTTCAATACGAATACGTGTATCGTTACACCCCTAGTGTAAATGTATGTTTCTGACCAACTGTTTGATGTTATTTCTAGCGAGAAATCAGTATTATAGTAATTGAATATTGGCTTAGATATCACCAAGCTCGTTCTATTTTGTTGTAGATCATTAAACCGTTACGCTGCCTCAGAAGTATGTCCGAAATCAGTTTCGTGAGGTGCCTTCATGCGCAAACGCCGCCTGCAAAGTCATTGCCAGATAACAACAAGCCAGCTGCCTAGGTTTTCCGATGCAGCCCTTGATTAGCTGGTTCAGGTGTGTGTATTAGAGTTAGAGCTAAACTGCAGGAAAGTGGCCCTCCAGGAGTAGGTTTGGACACCCCTGGTCTAGACGAAATTCCAACACAAATGGTAACAGGAGATGCATGTAAATGGCATGTTAAGAGCAGGTGTAAATAGTAATGGTGATCGGGTCACTGAAAACACATCTTAAAACCAGTTGGAAAAACCAGTTGGAGACATAGTCTTGTTTCATGGATGAATTGGAACTACTTCTTTGAGCTTTGCAGTGTCTTATTCAACAACAGAGAGAGTTGTTCATGTGAACAACAAAAGAAAACAGTAAGCAATGATACTAACCCATTGGGGGCGTGGCCAGTGTCTGTCTCCCTGCGAGCTGGGCGGGGCCAAGACCATCCAAAAACTCAGTGAACTGGCTGTCTGAAGAGATCTTCACTCCAGGGAAGATTAGACTTTGAACAGATAACGGACAGAACATCTATTAATCGGGTGCTAATAGCCTCTGACAAGACATCATCACTGACACAAAACCCGCCAACCAGCAATAGTGGTGATAGCATCATGTGATTTAGGAATACATGGACCATCGTATTCAGAAGTAGATTTTACAGTACTTACTTTCCAGGTTTTGCCTTTTCACTGTCTTCTGTGGTCTCTCGGCTGGGCTGCCGTGTCATCCTGCTCTTCATCTCGACTGCTAAACCAGTCTCTACGCTCCGCTGGATCGCCAGACGCACTGGCTTCTTCTTCTTACCCTCCTCTGAAAATGACAACAAGGGAAGGGAAGGGAAGATGAGTAAATGTGTGACACTTCTACAAACAGTGTCTCGAGCCCTTCTTGATTCTGAATCCAACAGCATAGTTTCTTGGTCTTGGTGTGACTCGGGAGCATTTGGACTCAGCCTTAAATCGGATCAAGTGCAGTGTTGAGTTCTACAAATCTGAGTACCAACTCACACACAAGGTCTCTCAGTGCAATCATCTATCACTGTGTACTGCGGAGTGTCACGTGACACTGACGTGAAACCAGGCTTTATTCATACCATAGGAAACATTCAGAGCCTCTTCCACTTTCTGTCTTGTCTCAGACTCAACCTACTCGGGTCTCAGCCTGGACTCTGACTTGAATGAGCTGGTCTCGGCTATAACACTGCCACTCCACACCTACTGCCATGGTTTGGGCAAACATATAGTCCCATCCCAAACTTGCGGCAGAAGAGTTGCCAGATGTCGACATGTCAAACCACCAAACAAACAGCAATGTTCTGAAAGAACCACAGAGCAATAGTGTTCACGCTACAAATGGTTTCTTAGTGTTGTCTCTGCTCATCAAATTGGGTCGGAGAAAGTATTTTAACATCTGAAAACATTACATATTTCACCCTTTAAGAAAAACACATCATTGACAACCACTGAATGAGATGCTTAAACAAAGACGTGTTATGACCAACAGGGGGCGTCAGTCTGCCACTCTGAGCAGCAGCACAGTCCTGAGTGTTCCATAGATCTATCTATCTATCTATCTATCTGTCTATCCATCCATCCATCTATCTATCTATCTATCTATCTATCTATCTATCTATCTATCTATCTATCTATAAGATTATGCATATATCCATCCATCTATCTATCAGATTATACACATATCTATCATCCATCCTCAGATTATACACATCTATCTATCTATCTATCTATCTATCTATCTATCTATCTATCTATCTATCTATCTATCTATCTATCTATCTATCAGATTATACACATCGATCTATCTATCTATCCATCCATCCATCCATCCATATATCTATCGGATTATGCATATATCCATCCATCTATCAGATTATACACATATCTATCATCCATCCATCAGATTATACACATCTATCTATCCATCCATCCATCCATCCATCCATCCATCCATCCATCCAGATTATACACATCCAATCAAAGCAGAGAAACCAACATAAATCACACATATGCATATATCCATCCATCTATCAGATTATACACATATCTATCATCCATCCATCAGATTATACACATCTATCTATCCATCCATCCATCCATCCATCCATCCATCCATCCATCCATCCATCCATCCATCCAGATTATACACATCCAATCAAAGCAGAGAAACCAACATAAATCACACATCATATACAGCTCTTCTGGCTTCCAGTTGGTCATAAACCATTCACAATGCAACGAAAAACAGTGCTAACAAAAAGCTTTCAAAAGAACTGGACATAGCAGCACCTGTCACACTTGGCATGTGGATTCATTCTTACCTCTGTCTGTCTCGTCAAAGGAGTTCATGCAGGGGAAGTAGACGGCCAGTGCCTCGAAGGAGGCAGACAGGCTAAGCCGGCTCTGTGAGCGCTGCATTCGCATGCCGGGGAGAGCGGCGCTGCCATCCTGCCCTTGTCTGCCCATTTTACCACCCCAGCACCCTCAAACACCTCTAACAACACCGAAAGAGGATGGTAGACGAGTAGAGCTGATGCTGTGAGACGGTTTTGGAGAAACACGTTTGGTAGAGTTGTGCTCAAAGCCTCTCATCGGTAGCAGCCTCGAGTCTTATTAGTTCTCAGGTCGATATGCGGTGAGGATGACTGTCTGACTGCCTCCTCTGCAGCACGCTACCTCATCTGAAGGGTGGGAGGGGCAGACGGCGGCATGTGCGTGTGGCTCACAGATGATGTGGCCAATCAGAGGCAGATAAACTAAGAGACCCCTCAAACGCTTCTCCAGGAGACAGAGCTCTGCCTAGAGATATGTCCGCACACAAACACATGCACAAGACTTGCCTTCTGACTGCAGCTTCATCAGCCACTACATTGACAATTATATTCACACAACAGTGTTGGGAAGTGGTTAAAAGTAGCAAAGCTACTAACTTGATTACATTTATTTAGTGGCGTGACAACAATTCAACTGTTTTCATGCAGCTTTTCCAGTAACAAGCTGCATTTTTCAATGAAATGCTACATGACTGCATTGTATTGTGGACACAGATGTACAGAAGAATGTACAGAATAAATGTTTCTGAGCAGCAAATCAGCATATTAGAATGATTTCTGAAGGATCACGTGACACTGAAGACTGGAGAAAAGATACCGAAAATTCAGCTTTGATCACAGGAATAAACTACATTTTAAAATATGTTCAAACAGAAAACAGTTATTTTAAATTGTAATAATATTTTGCAATATTACTTGTTTTACTGTATTTTTGATCAAATAGCCTAAATGGAGCCTTGGAAAGAGACATCCTTCAAACAAACAAAAAATAAATAAATACAAAAGAAAATGCATTGAAAGTTCTGAACGGTGTTCTATCTTGCATAAACTCTGCCCCTAAATGGCACGATCAATTATTGAACGATTAACACGTCAGTCAAGCTACTCTTCCTGTATAATTAGGTGGTTATTGTCCAGAATATGCTGCAAATAAGTTCAGACTTTCTGCGATCTTCATTAAACTGTTGATTACATTTTCTATTGTTTTTCATTAAACCACCACACTTGCACAAAACCTTGTCTTGCAAAGCTTCTGGTAAAAACATTGCAAAGTTAAGCTTAGTAAGCTTTACTATTAACAGCGTGACAATAGCAGTCTGATTTCATTACTGTACAGGCATGAGATGACAATAAAACCTGACATTTCATTTCATGATGACGGTTTAGGCAAACAGACACTGCATGTACCTCAATGAAGACAGGACCTTAAGCTTAAATGTGAGACAAAATGTACACTCCTGTAGCTATAAATATCGTATTGTGTGTAAGCTGAAATCATAACCCCGCTCAATACCGGCTCAAAATAGAAACATCATGAACCTTCCTATTAAAGTCTGAAGAATACAGTCGTGACTCATACCACTGCTCAAACATGTCAGACAGTAACACAAATAATCCAGCAGAGCGCAACACTTCCCAGCACGTTTCTCTTGTATCGTTTCTTTTAAGTACACAATCCAACAAACTTAAAATACCATTTAAGTACTAAAAATAACTGGGTAGTTGAAATCTGTAACGTAAACCACCACCTAGTAAATATGCCGTCTATATTAAACACTAAGATTGCAACAGTGCAGACACAGAAGACTCTTATCTGACATTAGACTCACTGTGTGGTCTCAGCATGTCAGAACAAACTAAAAGGATTCTGGTTTAAGTCACGGTCGCAGACAATGTGAATGCATAGAGGTAAAACACCTTTAGGGCTTTATGTCTTCAGATGTAAGATGCAGCAAGTACATGTGCATGCAAGCATTATAGTGTATAATGCATGACATGCTCCAAATCTTAAAAATTCATTTTTTATTTTAATTAATTCCTGTGATCAAATCTGAATTTATTTCAGTCTTCAGTGTCACATGATCCGTCAGAAATCATTCTAATATGCAGATTTGCTGAAGAAGAAATCCGTCATTACTGGATAAAAAGCATTAATGTTTTTTTATGAAAAATTACCACAAACATTCTGTTGTGTGTGAAATGCAGTATAGCTATAAATGGAATACAGACAAAAATAAACCTGAAAGAATCTGTCTAACAAATAAATGAATTATTCCTCATTTCGGATTCATAATGCAAGACTCAGGGGGAGCTTTAATGCTCCAATAAATACATTGAATAACAACCAGGTGTTAAAATGGCTCTTTACCATGGTATCATGTGCTGAGATATTGGCTCGTGTTGACCTATGACCCACGGGAACAGATGGACATAGTGAGCAGTCAGTGTGTTATCAAAGGGTTAGTTCACCCAAAACTGAAAATTAGCCCATGAATTACTCGCCCTCAAGGCTTCCTAGGTGTATATGACTTTCTTCTTTCAGACGAATCCAGTCGGAGTTATGTTAAAAATTGTCTTTGATCTTGCAAGCTGTTTAATGGCAGTCAGTGGATGTTGCAGTTCATCAGTCCAAAAGAAGTGAAATAAAGTGCATCCATCCATGATAAAAAGTGCCTCACATGGCTCCGGGGGGTGAACAAAGGCCTCCTGTAGTGAATCGATGTGTATTTGTAAGAAAAATAACCATATTCAAAACGTAATAATCACTTTAATGTAGCTTGCGCTCACAGTTGTACACGGAAGCAGCTCCGGGCGGATGACGTATGAGGTCAGCGCTGCACATGCGCCGCTCAGAAGTGACGAACGCAGAAGTGCAGCGTAGAGATCAAAACAAAACAACGGTCACTAATTAGAAGTATAAAACGAGGATTTGTAAAGAAGAATGTCGGAGGATTTCGATATAAGCCAAGAGGAGACTGGTTGTCCTTTGCTAAAGTAAGGAAACGTTGCTTCCTTTGCTCCTGTGAACAAACGTTGGTCTTCACAAGACTCACCGGCGCATGTGCAACGCCGACATCTTACGTCATCCTCCCGGAGCTGCTTCCGTGTACAACTGTTGCCGCAGGCTAGATTAAAGTGATTATTACGTTTTGAATATGGATATTTTTCTTACAAAAACGCATTGATTCGCTACAGGAGGCCTTTGTTCACCCCCCGAAGCCGTGTGAGACACTTTTTATTATGGATGGACGTGCTTTATTTCACTTCTTTTGGACTGAAGCAATGCAACACCCGCTGAGTGCCATTAAACAGCTTGGAAGATCAAAGTCAATTTTTTATATAACTCCGATCGGATTCATCTGAAAGAAGGAAGTCATATACACCTAGGATGGTTTGAGGGTGAGTAAATAATGGGCTAATTTTCATTTTTGGGTGAATTATCCCTTTAACAGCTGGACCACAT